TGCAAGATTATGTCATAAAACATGCTGGCCGGTGAATATGTTGTGTTTAAAAGTCCAAAAAGTATTTTATATGAATAATTGAAAAATCACCCAAAACATGCCTTACCATCGTGAAAAAATCCAAAAAAATAAAAAGTCCCCGAAATGCCTTCAAATGCAAGATTATGTCCTAAAACTTGCTGTCAAGTGAATATTTTGTTTTTAAAACTCCAAAAAGTATTTTATATGAATATTTCAAAAATCACCAAAAACATGCCTCACGTAAAATTATTATTTAAAAAATTTAATTATTTTCCAAAATTGTATCTTTCCTTACATTTTTCTCCAAAAATTTGAGAATTTAAAGAACATTTTTTGAAATGTTTGTGTAAAAACGTTTTGGTCAAAAACTAAAGAAAATTTACATAAATCATTTAAAAGTGTTAAAATTATATCCTTTCCTTTCTGCTTCTCATCAAATTAAAGTATTTTCAAAAATTCTTTTGAAGTTTTTTTTTTAATTTTTTGATTAAACCCTAATTTCACACATGAATGGTCAGATGGTGAAAAACATTTTGAAAATTTTTGAAAAGCGAATTTTAAATCTTTACCTTTTCTGCATGTTTCACATCTAATTAGAGAATTTTAAATAATTTTTTAAGAAAAAGTTTCTACGGAATTTTCAGGTGAAATTTTAATTTTGCATGTCATGATCAGATGATGAAAAAGATTTTTTTTACCTTCTCTGTCATGTTTTTTATTAAATTAGAGCATTTTTTGGTGAAATCCTAATTTCACATGTTATTGTCAGGTGGTGTAAAAATGTTCACAATTTTACCTATTCTGCGTGTTTGTCATCAAATTAAATTATTTTGAGAAATTGTTTAGAAAAATAAATTGGGGAAATTTTAAATAAAATTCTAATTTTGTATGTCACAGTCAGATGATTAAAAAGATTATAATTTTTTTAATTTTTGTTTTACCGTATGTTTCTCATCAATTTTTTTGAAAATTTTTTAGATTTTTTTCGTACTTTTTCGTGTATGTTTCTCATCAATTATTTTGAAAATTTTTTTTTAGATTTTTTTCGTACTTTTTCGGAAAAATACTAATTTAGCATCTCGTTTTGCTTATGTGTTGAAAAAATAGGATGACATTTTTTGGCAGAAGCAGCAGGCCGCACTATAATGCCTATAGGCACAGCAGCAACACACCAACACCTTTCCCAGGCAGGGAGTCAAACCAACAACCAACAACAACAAAAATCAAAGGCTGTTGTTTAATTTTTTGAATGAGCAAAGTTGCAGAACATTTGAGATTCTATGTTGTGCAATTACCTTCCTTTAAAATTTAAAGATGACTGTGGTCAGCGGTGAAGAAGTCTTTCTGAAAGACAGGTTAAAAAAGTTAACAATTAAAATCTTTTGTTTTTGTCAGAAGCCCCGCCCACTCTTTTTTCAAAATTGTTTTTGTCAGAAGCCCCGCCCACTCCCCTCTATGTAACCCTGCACTTTAAACTCTTACTGTCTTCAACAAATATTTGTCTTCTTTCTGATACCATTGAAGTCGCTCACACTGAAGTTTCTCTGTGCAGTGGTGAGTTAAATAAAATACTTTTAAAATGTCCAACAGGAACAGGTTACTGGTGAAAGGCGCCGAGCAGCTGGTTCTGATCTGCAGCCAACGACAGAAGTTTCTGACCAGGCAACAGATGACACAACTGTGTGTGATCCAAAACGGGAGCCTGGTGATCGGAAGGTAAGAGTTTTCATTGCATTGTTTTTAAACCACGTTACTTGGTTAAGTTCAAACTCTAATTTTTATATTAGAAGCACAAACGTCTTAAAGCATAAACCGAACTGTTTAAAAAAATACTTTACGTTTAAAGCCTTTTAAAATATTACTCTGTAGTGACCTCTTCAGGCTAAAGTGAGTGATTACATATTTTAATTATTTAAATCCAATTAATTATCCAATCCTTACATTTTACCAGTGTGTTTTTCAAAACAACAGTTAAACATTTGTGATCACCCTTGGTCACGTGATTTATTTCAGGGTTTTGTGAAAAGATTTTTGTTCCAATTTAATCTCCTTTAAGTGATGACATAACTAGATTTTGTTTTGGAGACTGATGAAGGTGACGTGTGTGTCCCCTGCAGTGACGGTTTGATCAAAGCGGTGGGTCCTGCAGAAACCATCAGGGCTCAGTTTTCTGAAGCGGACTTTGATGAAATCATTGATGCGTCAGGAATGTGTGTGCTTCCTGGTGAGCGTCTCTTCTTCTTATCCCCACTCCTCTGGTCTAACTTCCTTTCTGCTCCACTTTTGCAACCAATCGGCTGCGTCTGCCTCCATAACACAGTCTACTGTTACTCCTGTTTGTTTCAGGACTGGTCGATGCTCATACTCATCCGGTCTGGGCCGGTGACAGGGTTCATGAATTTGCAATGAAGGTAAATAAACAGGACACACAGTTTTTTTTTTTAGATAATTTCAGTTTAAAGAACCTGATGTTGAAACTCCGAAAAGTATCCTCAATGCGAAACTAGAACTTTGGTTGTGGAGGTAAATAATCTTTTAAAGCAGCGATTCTTAACCATAGGGCCGTGGACCGAAACACCTAGAGGCCCACAAAAAACGTTCAGTTTTGGACCTGTGGGCCGCAGTGCCCCTTGGACTGAATAAGTTAATGAAAACACCAGATCTGTATATGTTACAATGCCTTTTTACAACCATATGAGGGCGATAATGTGGCAGTCAAAACTTTAACAAGCTCCAATATACAGCGAAGAAGACGCTGGCCATGGCAGTAAGTATGGAGAAGTTTTTAAAGCTGGCCGTGGCAGTAAGTATGGAGAAGTTTTTAAAATAGAAAAATGGAGACATAATTGAGAATGACCGTAACGTGTGTCCTTTTCAGTTTTAGGTTATGTTTCTGGTACTATAGAGTTTTGGAGGTAAAAGGAGAGATACGTCCCTCACTGTCCCACTTAAACCTACTCCTTGTCCTGCATTTAGTGAGTTTGGAGGTGGTCACCTTAGCCACAAGTCACTTTGTACAATAGAAATTGAGCGTCAAGGTCAAAAAGGTTACATGTTTTAAAGTGTATGTAAATGTCTGCATTATGGAGCGAATGACGGACTTCGTAACCTTGATTTCAACAAACTAGAGGTCGAGGGTTAGTTTCAGCAGCAGCAGTGTCAGCGTCTGAGGTCACAGATACTTTGACCTTACCTTGGCTTCAGTTGGCAGGTGCCACCTACATGGACGTCCACCGAGCAGGCGGCGGAATCCACTTCACCGTGGAGCACACTCGGGCCGCCTCAGCCTCCGACCTCCTGACCTCCCTGCGTGGCAGGTTGGTTCGGATGCAGCGGGCAGGAACCACCCTGGTGGAGTGTAAGAGCGGCTACGGCCTGGAGCTGCAGACGGAGCTGAAGATGCTGCAGGTGATCGAGGAGGCCAGAAGAACCCTGCCCATCAACATCTCCTCCACCTACTGTGGAGCTCATGCGGTGCCCAGGTATGAGCCATACAGTATCTGATGAGCAGGTCCTCGTGTACTGCAGCAGCGACCTGACTCTGCCTGTTGTTTATCCAGAGGGAAGACCATGGAAGAAGCCACGGAGAACATCCTGGAGGTCCAGCTGCCCAGGCTGAAGGAACAAATGTCCGCTGGGAACCTCAGAGTGGACAACATTGACGTGTTCTGTGAGCAGGGAGTGTTTGACCTCAGCTCCACCCGCTCCATCCTGCAGGCCGGGAAAGACATCGGTCTCAACATCAACTTCCACGGAGACGAGCTCCATCCGATGAACTCTGCTCAGGTATCTTTGAAAGCTGTGGTTCGTGGCCTTTTTGCTGAACTCCACCTGAGAGAAAATTGTTTTATTTTTCTGTCTGTAAAGTATTGGCAGTTAAATGTAAACATGATATTTTACCTGTCAGTTGGGCGCAGAGCTCGGTGCTCTGGCCATCAGTCACCTGGAGGAGGTCACCGACGAGGGAATCGCTGCCATGGCGGAAGCAAAAACTGCCGCCGTCCTCCTGCCAACAACGGCCTACATCCTCAGGTACTCGGTTGATTGGTTAGATAAAGTAATTGCTTAGTTCACAGTTTTGGTTACATTTAAATAACAATAATTAAAATAATTGCAAGGGAAAAAAATTGCTTAGTTTTGGTTACATTTAAATAACAATAAAGATAAAATAAATTTTAGTTAAATAATTGTAGAATATATTTCTATTAAGAGTGATAAAAGTGGACTTTTCATTTAGCTCAAAACTATGAAAATGATGAGCAGAAAGTTATGAAGAGTCACCTCAAAATAACCTGAAAATTGGCCTAAAAATATGGAAAAAATATAAATAAAAGTAAAATTTTTCAACAAGGTTATCCAAATATTAAAGGAGTTAAAGATAAGATTAAAATTAGACTTATACTTGGATTAGTTAAGGTTAGTTTAAGGCAGTGGTTCTCAATTATTTTCTGTCATGCCCGCCCTTGGGGACAGAAATGTTTTCACGCCCCCCCGAGTTCCCACCCCACTACCATTGAAATACTACTGGGAACATTCTAACATGTATATACTTACCTGTACAAAACATTGTAAGAGTTGCTGCCACCTAGTGACTGGAGGCTAGTTATCATTCAAGCATTACAGCAGTGGTACACTTATGTCCAGCGTGCCATATTCCATTGTGTGTGTGTGTGTGTGTGTGTGTGTTCAGGCTTCCTCACCCTCGGGCTAGAGACATGCTGGAGGCCGGAGTCATTGTTGCCCTGGGCAGTGATTTCAACCCTAACGCCTACTGCTGCTCCATGGTGAGAGACGAGCCAGATAAAATTGTCAAATCTTTCTTTCTGTTTTTTGTTTTTTTTTCGTTTCTTTACTCTTTTTCGTCTCCAGCCAATGGTGATGCACCTGGCCTGTGTCAACATGAAGATGTCCATGTCTGAGGCTCTGGCTGCAGCCACCATCAATGCTGCCTACGCCCTTGGGCGCTCCGACACACACGGGTCACTGGAGGTGAACAAACATGGAGACCTGCTGGTTCTCAACAGCACACGGTAGGAAATCGTCTCCGTCTGGAACCAAACCTCAGCTCTGACGCTGAGGTTTGGTTCATACTTTATGAGTTTAATCAAGTTCTTCTGTTGACTTCCTGGGTCTTGAGTTTTTCCTGTGTACCACTGCAGGTGGGAACATCTGATCTACCAGCTGGGAGGACATCAGGATATCATCCGTTATGTCATCATCAAGGGGAACATTGTCTATGACAATGATAAGACCATGGGCTTGTGATCCAGAACATTCTACTGAGCCACACACGCTGGAATTACACATTTTTTAAAATAAAAATTTCAAGTTAAAGTGCTGGTTTTTAAATGCATTATAGTTCATTTGTAGTACCATTATCACGTACTTACGTTCAGCTTCATTTATGCCACAAGAGGGCAGTAAAAGGCACATTTATTTCTAATCACATTTACTGTTCAAGATAAATGTAATTTCTTAATTTAACCCCGATCACAGACCCCGCTTAAAAAAGTGGACGCCCTCTTCTGTTTGCAAAAAGAATTGAGGACTTAAAAAAAACGCAAAAAAGGACCAAGACCAAAAAGTCTTATGAAAAAGGTTTATTTTCGGTGGTCGTATCTTTACAACTAAACATATTCCTGGTTCGATCCTTCTACAGTTTTCTTCTTTTGTCTCATTCTTCCACAGACCAGACTGAGTTTGGACTGAGTTCACACTGCAGCTCCTGTTGCTCAATTCAGACATGTTGCTAACGTTTGATGATTTTGCGTTAGTTCATATTATAACTTTAACTGAAAGACATTTTTTTGCATCTTTGTCAATTAATGTGATCATTTTTGGAAAACATCAGATATGGCTGTGATACAGGAGGACCAATAAAAAGTGAGCTGGTCTGACACTAAAAAGTCTGATCTGTTCACACTGACAGAAAAATCAGATGTGAGTCGTTTCTGTCTGCAGTGTGAACCTCGTCTGTCTTCAGTCGTTTTTTTTAATTATCACGCTGATATTTTACAAAGAAAAACAAAAAACAACACTCACTATACTGTGATGTAACAATATAAAAAGCTCTAATACTGTAGACAACAGTAACTGAGATACAGGTTTGTAGAAACTCACACAGTATTCGACCTAATTTGACTAAAAAACAAAAGGTGCAGGTTAAAGGTGGAATTGATATTTAAAATATATATATATTTTTTAAACGCTGGTTCCATTTCTACAGCGTCAGGCTTCGTACTTTTTCCCTGCTCTGTGGATCTGCTGGTACAGCGTCATGGAGAAGGCCATGCCCAGGAGCTGAGCAGAGGAAAAAAAAAATAGTTGTGACACAAACACAACGATTACAAAAACGAATTAGAAAAAAATGTTACCTGTATGACCAGCACACACATGGCGATGGTTCCCAAAAGGTGTTTGTTGTCATCCAACCACTCCTCCACCTTCTCATAACAACCCTGAAACAACACAGATGGTTCTTTACTTTAGATATACACAAATATAAACATACCTACTGTATATACACATACACAAATACATTGACACACTGTACATATATACATACAAAACTTTAACTCATGACTGACCCGAGTCCAGAAGCTGTTAGAAGCGTTGCGGCCACAGCCAGGGAACATGTGCTGACAGCAGCTCTCAGGAACCACGTTCTCGTGCAGGGCCACGTACCAGTCGTTGTGATTCATCACTCCACAACATCTCCACTGGAGGAAAAAAGAGATGGAAGAGATAGGAAAAAGGGATAGGAAAATGTGTGTGCACATCAACATTACAGATACATTTTTTTTCTTCATTATTTTGTTTACATTTATTTAATAGTTGTATTTAATTCTTCATTATTTTGTCTACATTTATTTAATAGTTGTATTTAATTAAAGGATGTACTGTCACAGGAAGTAGCAGTAGTTGATGAACGTACCTCTTCCTGTATCGTGCTCCATGCGTCCCTCAGACCAGCGTTGTTCTCTGTGTTGTACAGAACCAGACCTTCCTTCAGGTCTCGTCTGGCGTTCTCACTCACCTGGTCAGAGTGAAGAGGAGAAGCTGATCATGTGACCTGTCGACCCCACTGTTTGCAGCACAGTGGAGATGGTGGGTGAAATGTTTACCTTGTCAGTGTAGACGAAGAACAGGATGAGGAGGATGAGTTCAGCCAGGAGGATGACCAACAGAACGATGAAGAACTTTTCATAAAAGGAACAAGTGGAAGGATTTAGACCAGAAAATGTAGTTCTGTCCAGATAACTTTTTTCCTCGACTTGAAACTTTTCTAAGTCTTATATTCTGACACGGACTTATAAGCAACTTAAAGCCAACTTAAAGGACTCTAATTGACTGTAGTGAATGTCGCTCACTCACACTCAGCAGCAGACACTTGTTCTCCTTGATGGCACCCAAACATCCCAGGAAGCCTGTCACCATGACGATGGTGCCCAGGGTGATGATGAGGTTGGCGGCAGAGAGCGAAGGGAAGGAAGGAGACAGCGTCGCAAAGTTGCCCTGGGAGACCGAGAGCCAGACTCCGACACCCAACAGGCCACACCCACCTAACTGTAACACAAACACACAGAGGAAATGTAAACACTCCGTGCTCACTCTGAGACATTCTGTGATTCATGTTCTGATTTTGATACAGCGTGTATGGAACACTTACCCAGAACAGCAGGTTGAAGAGGAAGAGCATGTACTTCACGCAGCAGATACAGCCACGAGCCATGGTTGAAATGAGACGACCTGAAAAACAAAACAAAAAAATATTTGTGTTACTCTCTGTCTTGTTTGATGAGTTTGTGTCAAAGTCAAAGTGAAACAAATGATTTAAAGAAACAATGAGAAAAAAATGACGTATTTAAACATACAGTAAAGCAGCAGTGGATCAACAGTGACTGTGTGTTGGTGGGTTTTTAAGGATTTTCTTTGTGTGGGACAGCAGTTTAAAAAGTGAAAGACTGTGTATATATTTAAACATTACCTTAAGATCAGACCAACGTTTGTAAAAGTTAAATTTTTCTGTGTCACTTTGTAAACAACACACCCAGCCCAAAGTCCATAGAGAATGTTGTTAATTTTAGCTCCCATCAGGGTCTTTGTTTAATGACTTTCCCATGGTGTTGACTTTGATAAATAAATATTTAGTAAATGGCTAAACAACTCAACTAATCATCGAACAAAGCCCTTCAGATAGATTTCTATAATGTAAAAAAAAGTTCACTCTGTTTACATTTAAATGTTACTTGAAGTGTAGTGAAGTGTAGTGGACATTGTTGTTGTTTGCTGAGGTAATAAATAGTTTCTTTGTGCGGAGTCATGGGACGACATCATCACCACAGAAGAAGAGATAAAAACTCACCACTTCACAGAGAGAAGAACTGAAAGGCTTTTGTTAGAAACCTGTGGGCAAAAAGGAAAACAACACTTAGTGTAAAGATTAAAGACTTGTTGACTTAAGTCATGTCAAATGTGACAACATTTTCATATTAGTCAACTTTCCAAAAGTTGATACAGAATGATATATGGCTATCGTAGAACATCAAAAATCTAAAACACACGATTGAAAAAACAACCAAGTTAACCTAAGTCAACTTGTGTGGATAATTTAACATAATAATAAACATAATAATAAACATAATAATAAACATAATAATAAACATAATAATAAACATAATAATAAACATAATAATAAACATAATAATAAACATAATAATAAACATAATAATAAACATAATAATAAACATAATAAACCTTCTGAGAGATAAAACTGCAACTGATAGCAATTAACTTTAAGCTAAAAAGAAATACATTTAGGACCAGAATTTTCCTTTTTACATGTAAAGACATGGCACCTTTTTTTAACAATTGCCAAGAGAAAAAGGTTTTGTGAATAAAATATTCTGCTACAACTTTTTTTGTTGTTGTTTTTGTTAGTGGTAAAATAAATCTGTCAAAACTACGGCCCATTTGCCAAAACTTGGACCAGAAATTGCTAATAAAGGCCAACAACTGCAGGGAAAATATAAACTGGACAAAACACTCCTAAATGTTAGCAAAAAACTTGAATTGAAAATAGCTAGAACTATGTAACAACATAATAAATACAACATGAAAGATCATTTTGAATTTCAATGAAGGTTAACCGGAAATACACAAAATTCGATAAGCAATCACAGGGGAAATTTAAAATAAATATATATCAACAGCTTTCTGGTACTATAACATATTTTTAGACTTTAAAACAAAAACATTACGAGGATAATCAGTGAGAAAAATCAGTTTTTCTTTAGCAAAGTTTTTTTTTTTTCCCGGTGGTGATTATTATTTATAGACCGAGTAAGATTCCTGTTTTTCTCCACACGATCTCTGATCCTCGTGTGTCGTCATGACTGTGAACTTCAGATTGTAGCTTTTGAAACGTAAAACTACGACAAACGTGATGAAGTTTGCACAAAAAGCGCCATTTTAAACACTCCGTAAACTGCGCTGTTTGATTCTTGAGACAGTTAAAAGTTTTCCTGCAGTTCAGACTTCGGACCGTCACTCTTCCCGTGTCCTACTACTCAAAAAAAGACAACATGCGGAGAGAAAAAAGAAAGAGACGCAGCATTTTCCTACCGTTTAGTCCGAAATGCAGCTCATGTTCCCGCGAACGTTTGCACTTTGAGCCGCAGGACTCTTCCCTGCTGTCCTCTTTTCACTGCATCTCTAACGTTGACTCCGTAAACTCGCTGTTTGTCAACTCTGGAGTTTCGGATTTGACTAAACTGCTGTAGGGGAGGAAAGGGGAGACGGGAAAAAAGAAAAGGGCGGAGCACAAAAGAGGAGGCATCAATGTCGGAGTGGCCGAACAGCGGCAACTATGTGAAGCGACGTAATAAAATAGTTGGATAATGATAAAAACAAACAAACAAAAAACAAACAAACAAAAAACAAACCAAAAACATAAAATATCATTTAAAATACTCTTTTTAATTTTTATATTTTATATTATTGGCTATATTTATGGCTATCCCATGAGTTATGCTACTTTACATTATTTTCAAAAAATAAAAAATAGCTTAAAATACAGTCTCCCGAAATGTGCATTTTAATGTTACTCTATGTGCCAAAATGGTTAAAGTTCCAAATTATCCAAAATCGACAATCTTCGTTTACAAACTATGTATAAGATGTATAATATGTTCTAGAAATACCTAAAACATAATTTTTGGGCAAAGAGAAAAAGGCCAAACGTATGTATTGCCTATAGCAAAAAAATTATTCGACAAAAAGTTTATGCCTTAAAATAGGCATCGCCACGATAATGTCTTTCTAATCCTATGTACGTTTGATGAATTGAAAAAAACATATTAATTCCAAACAACCAAATATTGAAGCCAAACTGGACTTTAATGTACATTGATAGAAATACATGACTTTGAACAGAAATTACCAAATAAAATTACAAAATTTAAAAATACATCAAAAGCCATTTTTGTCTCACAGCTTATTCCACTCAGGACTCAGGGACATTAATCTGCGTCGATTGTTTCCTGTGTTAAAAATCCAAAGTCCAAATATCAAATGAGTCCAGCGCGGACACACAGATGTGTATCAAAGTCTTTCGAAAATAATGGAATACAAACTCTCCAGAGGAGTTAGACAGTGACGTCAGCACTGACTGAATGTTCCTCCATTATTCAACTGTGCCAACGTTGGTTTCATCCCAGTATCCATCGATCAGAGTGAGAGGAGTTCAGCTGCACTGACTCGCTGCTGTCTCCTCCCTCATGCTGAAAGACACATTTTCACAGATCTATGGTAAATTTTTATATATGGTATGGTATATACTACCTTCACAGATAAGAGCAAACTGGGCTGACCACACTGTCTGTACCAGGACTGTTGTAGCTAACGTTAGCTCTGGTGTCTGTACCAGGACTGTTGTAGCTAATGTTAGCTCTGGTGTCTGTACCAGGTCTGTTATAGCTAACGTTAGCTCTGGTGTCTGTACCAGGACTGTTGTAGCTAACGTTAGCTCTGGTGTCTGTGCTCCCAGCAACACATTTAACATTGAGCTGATACTGTAAACTTGAAGTACTGCAAAATGTCAGACCTTGTTGGCGATGGCTCTTAGTTTTCCCAGCAGAGTAGGTTTTTGGGCGTAAACGACATCATCATCAGGCTCCTCTCCCTCAGCCAGTGCACAGCTGTCGGCAGCCGGCAGCTCGCAATCCTTGTTGGCTGACATCACCAGACGAGAATATTTGTACTCCAGCCTAACCAAAAACCACAGGTCAATGAATTTTATTTGAACTCGATTTGTATTCATGAACGTGAAATAATTAAAGTTTTTTAAGATTGTGTGGTGTAACCATAATTTTAAATAAAAAAAAAATAATTAGTTGAAAATAATATTCCATCAGTAATATAAATTACTAGACATTTCTGGCAACCATAACTGAATACCAGGCGACCGAAGTCTAAGAAACGCTGCAAATTGAACAGTGCACGATACATAACCAGCTTTGCTTTGTTCGGAAATGATGAAAAATATTTTGATTTTATATCATATTTTGATACAAACATTTACCATTTATATTTAAACATTTATATAAACATTTACCAAATCAACATACTACACTGTCAGTTGCTAAATATGCCTCACACCCGCGGTGAAAACATTTACTCAGCACTGTGGTCAGCGCTCATGTATATTATTCAATGTGTGTGTCACCTCTTGTTTTTCTTCCAGAAATAGCAGGTGAGGGAGACGAGGAGTACAGCCATGAACGCTCCGCCTCCAACACCAACCTTCAGCCACAGAGCCACCGCCTCACAGGGGGTGGAGCTTCTGGATGGTAAGGACACGCCATTGGTGCAGAGCTTTGGTTCGTTCCAGACGTACAGAGTTACCTGTGGAGGATGACGTTGTTGAAGGGCTTAATGTTTGTTATCATCGCTTAAATACAGATGTTGCTTTTTTAAAATTTGAACATGAAACTTGTTTATATCATTTTGGTGCGGTCCTCGCCTCACCTGGTCCCCTCCCTTGCAGGCTCCTTCTATCTGGTGATAGTCGTCCTCAGTGCAGAGTGGACAAGCAGTGGAGCTCTCCCACAAGAAGTTGAAGGTACATCCATCACATGTTCCTGCAGGACATGTGCTAAACACAAATATAAAATCATTTAGCTATCAGGTTCAAATGTAATTTAGTTAAAGCAATATTCAGAATTTCAAATGGCTTTGGATACAATGTGTCAACATTTTCCAAAGCAAAGCTAAAATTTTACCTTACAGATTATTTAAAGTGTATAAAAGGTGAATTTCTTTTTACAAATTAGCCTAAAATTATTTAAGTTAGCTACATTACAGTTAGCTTAACTAAGCTAGTCACTTTAATGTCACACACAGTACGGTATACTGACCTGGGCACAGACACCTGTCCTCGCTCAGGTTTCTCAGGGTTACAGCGAACAGTGATGACAGAGCTGCGGCCCTGAGCACATGATGCTGTTACCTGATTGGACCTGGAAAGAAAAGCAGCTCGCATGTATAAAATATTTCAAAATAATAAAAAAGAATCCCTATATGTGTCATACTGCACCTGTAGAAGAAGTTGATTAATAAAAAAATCCTATATGTATCATACTGCACCTGTAGAAGAAGTTGATATCCGAGACGTTGTGTGATTTTTTTGTGAAAAGATAAGGATTGGCATTTATGTCATTGAGGACAGTGTCTCTGGTCGCTCCTGGAAAAAAGACAAAAAAGTCGTAGAGCAGGTGGTTCAAAGCCAGACTGTAAAAGTCTTGGCCTGGGACTTGATGAAACACTTTACTGTACTTACCAACGAAGGTGTCAGCGAGGCTGATGGACTGGGAGGAAATGGCCTTCCTGAAGCCCCGCCCATCTGCTGGAATGATGGTTGACTGGCAGATGAAACTGTCTACGGTGTTGATGAACTGAGCTGGGTCGCTCTGGATGTCTTTGCTGGACACGTCGGTGACATTGTCACTGCAGACAGCAGCTCTCTCTCCCTGAGGAGACACAGGAAGTTGGTCATTACTGGATTCCTGGGTTAAAGACTTCCTTTGAGTTAAGGTCAATATTTATGGTTAAAGTTACATTTTTAAAACTCCAAACCAGAGCAGTGTCAGCAGATGTTCATGGTTCTTTTACCTCATGTCCACACAGGCTGATGTTGAACAGATGAAGGTATTTTGTGCCTTTCGATGTGAAACTAGGTCCGATGATCAGCGAGGCCACGCCGCTGAGAGGGCTAAGGTCAAAGGTCAGAGTGCGGTTGTCGTCTGTGTGGGAGAAAGTACAGGTGCTGTAGCAGCGGGAGTGTTCCTGAAATGGAAAAAAAAGTCTTTACATGTTTGCTACATTGGTCTTCAACTTGAACTACAGCTACGATCTCTGGTATGAACCTTGTTGCTAATGCTCCCTGGTCCACATGCGATACACGCGTCCTTCCCGTAGGTGTGTCGTCCTGCTAGGTACGTGTTGGGCGGACACTCCTGGCACCGGTTGGTGTCTCTGTCGATGTAAAAACCAGCAGGACAGGGGACGCAGGAGGAGCTGGGACGGTGGGAGTTTTCAGGTACCAGAGCACAGGCGCGACAGACGGACGCCACGCCATCCAGGACGTTAGTGACGCTGATGGAGTACAGCTTCACCGTGTCACTGATGTAGCGACGGACCTACAGACACAAATACACAAAGAGACGAGGGATATCCTGTAGAGTTAGCTTCATCTGCTGGAAAACATGAATCCTTCTGATAAAATTTGACAATTTTTACACTGAAACTGAGCGATGGTAAAAAAAATAAATAAAAAATCTCCATGAAAACTAACTCACATCCAGAGCTTGGTTGGTTCTCTGAAAAGCCCAGGTGTAGGTGACGGAGGCATTCCTAGTCATGATGTGAGTGTACGACTGTTTCCCTTTACTGCCTTCCCACGACTCTACCACTGTGGTGCTCTTCCTGTTGACGTCCTGTAGGGGGAGTCATGAGAAACATTGTTATGATTAAAACTAGCCAATGGTAGTCAATCTGGTGACATGGTGAAAATTGTCAATCATATCCGTGGACGCTCACCATCATGAAGTAGAGCTCGCAGTCGGCGAGGCAGATGGTCTCGAAGACGAAGGTGATCCTCCCAAACTCACCACCGGTCATCCCCGAGAGCGAGGCTGGAACTCTGACAGTGACCACACAGAGAAGATGAAGAACATTTAGATCTAAAGTTTACCCGAAAAAGACTCAAACAAATGTCACACAGCACAGACTCACTTGAACCCAGGCACGCGCAGACTGAGGATGAGGTAGTCGTTGTGAACCCAGGCACACGCAGACTGAGGATGAGGTAGTCGTTGTCGGAACTTCCTGCTCCGCTGCGGACGTGGTCACCAGCCACTTCCCAACCTTACGGTAAAACATAGAAAAGGTTTAAGTCTGTTGGCAGGTGTTCAGGACCTTTGGATGTTTATTTAACTTGTTAGTAGGATTGTTTTTAATTCAGGCTAGCACTGGGAAAATAACTAAACAGTAACACTAACACACACTCCAGCCCAGTAGGTGGCAGTGATGCACTCAAGTTTGTCTCGCAAGCCAGAGGAGGATGAACTTCCTGATGAGTTACGAGTTATTTCTCTATAACTAACTGTGTTTTCTGCTCACCGTTCATTTCGTCACATTTGGAATTTCCCACGTTGAAACAGGAAGTTTTCATGTTTGGGGGGAGAATGTTCCACCATTTATAGTCATAACCCAACACTGGCTCTGTACCTGCAGGACACTGAACACACTCTACACACACACACACACACACACACATTAGGCTCTTCACTGGACCAGGTCTGTCAGTGGTGGGCTGACGTCTGGACCTTTCCTACCGTGTGTTCCATCAGAGTGGGTTCCAGGTGGGCAGGGCAGACAGGTGGAGTCTTTGCTGTTGTAGTATCCTGGGTTACAAGGAGGGCAGGGCTCCTTCTGCCCCGTAACTGGGAGTTCCACCGCTCCAGTGACGTTCTCCACGCAGATCTTTGGCTCCAACCATCGATACAACACCTGCGTCTACAAAATGAAAAAACAAAACAAAACACAGGAACCAACGTTTGAGGAGAAAATGTTAAAGTGATAATTATTCAAGGAAAAAAAGAGAATAAAACTGAACAGATAAAAATGTGAGGGCGGAGCAGCCGCTGACCTTCCCGTCACTGTCACAGGCTGAGTGGATCTGGAAATAATCCCTCTCTGAACACGGAGGTCTGACTTTACACCCAGGCCATCCTTCATCTGAGGGAGGAGTCAGAGGTTTTCTAAAGAATTTTATTTCACGTTTTTTACGCTGTCGTTATTTATTCGTACGTACGTGAGTAGTGGTGCTCGGGACAGGGCGTACACATGGAGGATCCCTTCACAGAGTACGTGTTCCTGGGACAGGGCTGACAGGACGAGGAACCGGGGGCGGAGCTGAGCCAACCAGGCCGACACAGGAAACACTCGGAGGTGTAGGCCACACCTGGATCCACACAGGTCACATGACTGACTACTCTTCTGAGTGGCTCTCTCACTCATTCATTCCTTCTAGTCATTCAGCCCCACATACAGTAACTTGAAATTATTAGTCCATTAAATGAATACACGTTTTCATGACGGTGTTCACCTTCTATCTGGATGTTCTTCAGCAGCACAGGTTTCACCATCTTCCCTCCCACCAGGATTCCTGTGGTTCTCCAGTAAAGGATGTTCGTACCAGACTTTAGACCTACCTGAAGCAACGACAAAACCAGCGAAACAACGGTTTCCCATGATGCTTCAGTGAGACACTCCCACACCAACAAACAGACAGGGGCAGCTGGGTACCGACCGTGTGTGTGGACCAGTCTCCGTTACTGGTGATTTTAATCCACTTCTGATCTTCAGTCTGAGCCATTTCCTGACACTGTTCGTTCTGGACCTGAACAACAGACAATGTCAACAGACCAGGAATTAGCTGAAATTTAGGACAAAATACCCTAGATTTTCAAAATATGACACATTGTTTTTTTCTAAATACCAGTAAAATTAAGAGTAACATTTTTAAGTCTATATAAAATATAGACTTAAAATATAGAAATAAGAAAATGTCCATTTATATCACTGTAGAACACACACCCATTAAGTATTACATGTGGAGCAAGTCATATAAAAATATCAAGTCAAGAGTGTTGTATTGTATACTTTCTTTAAAGTAAGAAAAAAAATAGTCTAGTCGAATTTATCAGCTCTAAAATAGCTAAAAATAGCCTGATATATAGCAAAATATTAAAAATAACCAAGCGGTTTAGCGAGTGATGCTAAGCTAAAGTGGGTCAAAGGTTCAAGCATAAAACAGATGTGTGTTAGCCTAAAGATTATGAGAAATAATCTAGAATTTAGACAAAAGGGAGAAACTTAAATAATGAAAACTAGCCAAACAAATGCTAACAGTCGGACAAAAATTAGTTCAACTTTATCCTAGTACTATATGAGGGTTGGAAACTTTTTTCCTTAAAATTATTTTCCAGGGCAAACAGACGGGTCTACATACGTAGAACTCAAAGAAGATGTTGTTGTCAGGATACTGGTAGGTGAAGGAGATGGAACCCTGTTTCTCCAGGTGAACGGCGTAGACCAGAGACACCGTACACTCATCCCGGTTCGACTCCAGGTACACACCCTGAGGCGTCCACGAAGAGCTGCGGTGACACCAAGGGAACACGTGACCTTTTGACCTCCACGTTTCGGCGACCTACCTCTGTGAGGGCGTGAACATCTGTGTCACCTGTTACAGGCCTGAACGTCCTCTCCGTTCGGCCCTGGGTCGAAGAAACTGGCCATGCTGGTGAAGCCTGCAGGGATGGCGTCCCATTGGTCGAAACGGAGGCCACTGCCCAGGGAGTAGGAGCCTGCAGGACAGGACGTGCACTGCTGTGTGGACATCTCTAAAAACTTCCCCGATGGACAGGAGAAGGCTTCAGGAAAGAGAAAAAAGAAGATTTAAATAAATAAATAAATAAATTTGATCATGTGACTGCACAAATGACAGCTCCTTGAGCTCCTTTGAGATATTTACAGGCTTCTTTGCAGCGTACGTACAGAAGTTGTTATTGGTGTTGCCATTGTTTGGTGCAGGTTTTAGGTCAAAAACAATTATAATAATTGTTATATTAATTGTTAAACCTTGAACCTCAAAATACCCTCTTGGTCAGCAAGGACCTCCAAAATGTCCTCACAAGGACAAAGTGTCCAAACAGTGAACATGTACAGTACGTACAGCAGGTACATGTACACAGAGTACATGTACACAGAGTACTCACAGCAGTCTGTTCCTTTGGTCGGGGGTGGAAGATCTGAGCAGGAACCAGGGACATGAGGGATGGTGACCCTCCACCGCGACCCAGTGCTGTCACACTCTGTGTACTGGTAATAGTAGTCTGTCTGCAGAACACACACACACACACACACACACACACACAGTTAAAGGATCAATAAACCCACACAGAACTGTGAACCTGAACTTGTTATTGTGCCAGGAATGAAAAAAAAAAAAGTATTTTTCATACAGTTATAGTGAAAAGAAAATCTTCAACTTTGTCCACTGAACCAAAACTGTCCATATATAGAAATAAATTATTTCAGTGAGATGCTTTCAGGAATAAAGTATTTTCTGACCCTGGTCACCACAGCAACTGACCTTGGGTCCATTAATGGTCCATTAGGAGCAGAAGAGCAGGTCATCTGTATGAGTCCATTCTATTTATCATGTCAGCTGAATGAACACAGTGATTTATTTAAAAATAATAATAAAATAACTTAAAAGTATGAAGAAGACCAGAGTTAACAGCAGAAATGCTAAGTACATGTCACCAAAAACATGTTCAACAACAACTAATTCTAGAAGTAGAGGCCTGCTGAAAAAGATAGCTTAAAAAGTAATTTATTTTTTAGTATATATTTTAGTTGTTTTTCTGCCATTGCTGATCATGTATATATACATATAATCAGACTGGGAACAACATTCTACCTGTTTGACCTTTAACAAAAGACCCATGAATAAATCAATAACAGATGGTTGAACTTTTCTCCTCACACACGTGTGTGTGTGTAGATTAAACAGTAGCTGAAACTCAACACAGTGACAAACAGTGTCTGGGACGAACAGATGTCCCCGAGTCTCACCACTGAAATTACACTCTCCAGAATAAAAATACATTTTCTTTAGCTTATGATGACATCATCATCATCATCATCATCTCATCACCAACCCCTGCTGCCTCCTGACTCTGAGGCTGCTTGGTTTCCTCCGCTCCTGCACTTTTACCAGTCTCCATGACAACAGCGTGAATCACCCGGGAGACTGGGGGGAACAAATTAGTCCGTGTCCTTTATTTGTTGTTATCAGCTCCTCCCCCCCCCCCCCCCCCCCCCCCCCCCCCCACCCACCCCAACCCCCCCCCCCCGTTCATCAGCAGGTGAATCTGAGATCTTTGACAACTGTCACAGGTTGTTAGGCTTCTCTGACCCTATCATCCTGGTCCAGATGGTCCGACGTTTATTTTAGTTAGTTATTTACTCAAACAATTTCACTGCACAATACAGAGAATTAAAGAAAGACAAAGAACTGGAAGTCTGCTGAGAAGAAGGAAAAAGAAGACGCACATATTGGTTTGGTCAGGTGAAATATTTACAAAAAAAAAGCTATTTCGTCACATTGACATATGACATATGTTGTCAATGAAAAATGAAAAAAAGTACACGCAGAAGGGGCCGAGTTTGAACACCATAGGAACCATGTACCAAATGGTGCCTCCTGTGGCAGCATTTATGGTTGGCAAAGGCTTATATAAGAATCAATTTTCCCATTGTGGGACACATAAGGTGTATATATATATATATATATATATA